CTCTCTCTCTCTCTCTCTCTCTCTCTCTCTCTCTCTCTCTCTCTCTCTCTCTCTCTCTCTCTCTCTCTCTCTCTCTCTCTCTCTCTCTCTCTCTATCTCTCTCTCTCTTTCTCTCTCTCTTATTGGACACACAATTCGTTTTTCCCATTAAGAAATACATATGCACATTATCGTCATGTTTTTATTCATGATTTTGACGTTCTGTTACCATAAGCTCTGATCGTCCTCCAAATTCTCGAAATTCTTATTTATCTAAATTATTTTTTGAAAATTATCTTTTGAAATATTTTAAAAATTTCTCACGATCAGAGACGGAAAAATGTTAGCATTTGATAATACTAAAAAAATTTCAGATTTAAGTGATATAGAAAATCAAAATTCTCTACATATGTTACGTATATTTTTTTGATATGAAATCTATTCTTTTAAAATACGGAGCATTTTAATTTTGGATAAAGAAAGAAAATTAACAAGAACATGTTAGGAAAAATGATATTGTGAATTTTTTGTATCTATTGTATATATAATACAACAAACTCTAACTATTCTATATATTTTTAAAATAGAATTTTCTTCATTTTTCTTTATTTAAACATTAAGCAATTAATTATCTGTATCTAACTTAAATTTTCTTTCACCAATTTCGATTTACTTTTCACTCTGTACACTGCTAGCCACACTCGCTTCGTATTCCCTTTGTTCCTGGCATTCTGAAGAACTTTGGAAAGGGTTTTTCTACCATAGCATTGAAAGAAAGCTCGACGAAGCACTCAAAGATAGAGCAATAGAAAAGTCCGCCAATTTTCAACGTATCTCTCTTTTCCTCTCTCTCTTTCTCTCTCGTCTATTTCCTTCTGTCATCCTGGAATTCTTCTGTGTCCCTTTGATCCACTTACTCGTCCAACGCGTATCGCATATACGGACTCGACCAAAAATGTAACAAAGTTTCCAGGAACATACTGGCAGAGAGTACAGATTCTGCGGTCTCTTTGGCGAGCGTCGAACCCGGTTCTTGCTAGATGAACGATGTCTCTTCGACATCTTGTTGTCGGTAACTTTCCCTCTACTGCGATACACTTGAACGTTATCGAGATATTCAGAATGATTATACATGACGGGTGACCATGTATAATTCGCAGGAAAAGTAACAACAATTTACTCCGTCGTTTTTTAAAAAATATAATCATTGTTGATACAGTGGATAAATTTTAAAATAAATTTATTTGCAGAGAATATTATGTATAGTTTTTTTTTCTTTGATTTGGACCTTTACCTTTTTTTAATAAGATGGCGAATAAGATGGTAAAGTGTGCATTTTTGTAATACATTTCTGACGTTTTCTCTTTTTTTAAAACCGCAATAAATATTAATCGTAATTATAGAATTAATAGAGAATTAATTATTAAATATAGAAGATGAATACATTTTCTTGATAGACATTTTAAGATTGTTTATCTCCTCACGTTGTTGTTTAATTTCTCCTTGTGCCGAAATTTAAAGCATTATACCTTAGAAGAATCTCTTTGATGTCGCGCTTTACATGCAATATTTACATGCTATCGAGGGAAGACTTTAAACTTCTTAAAGATATTTTGAAGGCCCGGGAGTACTTCCAGCGAGCTTGCTGCATTAAGAATTCAGGGGAGAGGCACAGTGGCATTTATTCATTCAGGCATTAATGAAAAGACTGTATAGCTGGTTCTTTGTGTAGAAAAGTCGACGCAAGCATAAATGCTCTACCCTACTTTTGTACTCATCGACAGTCTTTTAATTATTAAAATTTTCATAAATTCTCATTATTATTTACTATTTCAATATCTTAAAAAAGATTACATTTGAAACTATATTCTAAATTATCAATTATTAGTTACTGATATCATAAATATATCATCGAATTCCGAAAACGTTGAAATTCTGAAAACTCATTTCATTCAACTAATTTGATTAGCCAACTATAACATAAATCAGGACATGTAACATTAAGGATATATTGATATTCTCCGCGTATAATGTGTACTTAATCGGAAAAACAGGAGGAGGAAAATGGGTGAAAGCATGTAAGCTAAGAAAGACTTTGCCGCAATTTTAAAAACAGCTAAGCATTCCACATGTTTGTTTAAACGCACAATGCCATTAGAAGTGCCTTTTAGTCCCTCTATCGTCCTCGCTATTCTCATTGTCGACGTCGACATCGTCTACGTTGCCGTCTCTCGTGGCCAACTTCTCTCGCCACCCTCTTCCAATCCCCCCCTCCCTCCTGTTGGAAAATCCGCTCGCGGCAAAACGCGTTCTATGTACGCTGCGCCGAGTTTTTCTACGGTTTTCGTCTGGCACTTCGACGCTCGTTTTCCTAAATCGCACGCGTGTGCACACACGTGTTGTACACGCGTGTCACTGCTGCTACTGCCTTCTCAATTGAGGTCAACGTTTGTTTTCGTGTTTATCTTGCATTGCTGAGTGGAAAATTAATCGAAATATTTGCGAGGTCAAGTAAATGCACGTAAAGAAGTAAACATTAAATTCGATGAATCAGTTATGATAATAAAATATTTCAATCAAATTACAATTGCGTAAAAATTCTCAAATCAATTTTGATTTATAAGTTATTTTGTATAAAGATTGAAATTATTAATCCACTTCTTTCAATGACAATTATACAGCGTATTAGTTTTATTCTTTAACATTGATTTGAAAGGTAGCAATAAATTAGAAATGTTATTGTCTTCCTATTTTACTTAAATTTCTTTGTTGTTTATTTTATTGCCACGTTTGCATATTACGATGTGCATTTGTGTGCGCACAAACAAGAATTCGTTATGAAGACGTATGCCCTTTGAATTTTGCTCGTTTATATTAATATTACATCAATGCCGTGTCAAAGAGCGTACCCCCTCCTCATTCTCGTCGTCACCCTTTACATAACGTATACCCTTTGCACTTCGATGAGGCTTTCTCGTGCGGCTAAGCAACGCGAGACTACAGTGTGAATAATTAGCGAGCGAGATATTAACCAATGAATTTGAAAATGTCTTCAAATAGTTTCAAAAATATTCACCACTCATATGGTAATTTTCGAGTATTATCGTATGATAATTAAAAAATGGTGTACTTATCCGTAAAATTAATCCTTTGCGTTCTTTTGCGTCAGCAAATTCAAATTATACTGTTCTGTATGAAACGTTTCCCATTTCTTTAGAAGTATACTCCATTTCAAAATAGATGTAAAACCAGAATATATATACATATGCCTATTATAACTACTATAGACTGAAATTCCTTCTACTAGATTTTTGTATAAACTGCTAAATTTATCTACTCAATATAGAATTTTCCCTCGCAATCAGACAGTTGAATTGATTTCCGTTGACTTAACTATCTTAACTTAAAACTTCCAAGAGGGTACAAATCTCGTGCAAAGGAAAAAAAAAAGAAGAAGAAATCGCCTTGCTTAGGCAAATGCGGCCAATAATCGCTGATAATTTATTAAGGCAAAAAATGCTGGCGATCTGCCCTACCGGGCTTCTTGCGTTATTTAAGAAAATAAATATTTGATATCTCAAACAAAGACTCGGCTATTCCTCTCCTTGCCGAAGAGCCAAACGAAGAAGCGGGAGGAAGATAAGGGTGAGACCGCGAGGAGGAAGGACCAAGGATCGCAGCTAAAAAGTACCGAGGGAGAGGGTCGGTAAGTCTCTCTCGCCCGCTTAAAGGCGTCGGCGGGGGTGGCGACTCATTGGCCGTGAAATATGGGGTAAAAGGTTCGATAATTGATTACACAGATTTTTTATGCCGCAAGAAGCCTTAATTCTCGCCGCTACCCCTCGGAAATAATTCCGCGCCGGGAAACCTGAGCGACGAGGCTGGAATATCGAGTCCCTCCCGCTTTTCCCTTACGAGGGAAGACAATCTCGTGTCGGCTCTTACAACCGGTTCGGAGATTAATCGAAATCGCGATTGCCGCTTTTCACGAGCGACGAGAATAAGCGGCATATCGGTGCGGAGATGTCTGCTTTATCGAATAAACGTCTCCGCGATAATCTTTCTTTCGTCTTTTCAGAAGAATCATTTTGGTCTCTGTCAAATATAAGATAATGTTTATGGGTAACGGGCTCTTTTCTAATTATCTTTTACCTTTTTAATTAATTTTTAATC